TATACACATTTGACATATTAGGATAATTTCATATATTGTGTCTGCATTGCTTAAAAGGTGTGATCCAAGCTACTGTTGTGTGTGCTATATGGGAAAACAATATACAGCTTTCCATGTGCCAATATTTCTTTGTTTATTTGTTTTCCAGGAAAAACAGTCATATAATAAAGAATTTAAAGATGTTTTAGGCAATCTTTGCTGTTGTTTTTGTACGCATATTGTGATTGGGGGGGGGAAAGGAGGAAGGAGAAGGGAAGCAATCCCACAGGAGAGGACGAGGAGGTAGGAAGGGAGGGGATGAGGAAGCAGAGTGAGGCTCTGTGAAGCGCGGCGGCTGCAGTTGACGGGCTGTGCATATTTCATGGCTGCCGCTTATCATGAGAGTCTTCCCCTAAAGGGGGGAGTGGGGGGGACACGGCCCACATACACAGAGCCCCGCCGAGCCTCTAAGGCCCCTCGCGATCCACCGGAGTCCATCTGTGGTCCTGCACCTTCCACCACCCAGCTGCTGCTAAATCACATCACCAAGTGGAAAAAAAACGGCGTCTTAAAGACACAAATCATCAGATATTTCTGAGAGCGCACGTCAAGTTCAAAATCATTTTGAGGATATAAAAAAAACAAAAAAAAACTTTAATGGAGTTAATCAAACGTGTGGAGCTGACCTTTAACTTCTTGTACCAACAGGGTGAAGAGGGTTCTTTGTGGATTCCATCGCACACAAAGAGTTGTGCGTTTTTAATGTTCGCTAATGTAGACGCCACACTTTTTTATAACCAAAAACCCAAATCAGTGTTTCTCTGCTGTGTAAAATCTGCGCACTGATTGGTTGAGACGATGGACACGCCCCTCGACATCAAACAGGAAGCTGAAGCTAGTGGATGCTAGCTTACATTAGCATGAAGGTTGAGGGGAAAACATGAAAAACACCCCAACCGACTCGTTTGAAGCCTTATTTGTTTAATCCTATTTTGCCCCGTAAACAAACCGTATTTTGACGTGTTCTCGGCCGGCTGCAGCTTTCACACCGTATGGAAACTAAACTTTATTGTCCCAATGTACAGGTGTGACGTTAAAATTCAGACTTCATTTTGACTTCTTTGAGCAGATATTTGTTCCTGTTCCTGTTCGTTGAATGAATTGAATTAGCTAATTAGCCGGCTGATTAGCAGGCGAGCTAAAAGGGCCCCATAATGCATCTGACCTGCTGTATTTTAATGCAGATGTTCCACAGCAGCATAAACCCCTGCGTGACAGTGAGTTCCGGCACACAAGCTGCCGGTGAAGTTTCCCCCCCTCCCCCCGGAGTGGATGTAGGAGATCATTAATTCAAAATGTTGCGGCCCCCAAATTAAAGCCAGTGGCCCCCCCCGCACAAAGCAGCAGCCGGCGCTTATCGGCCCGAAACAGGTCAGCGTTCGATACCGCCTTTCATTCACCCTCCTCTCTCCTACGCCCTCCCTCCCCTCCCGGTTCTCCTCCGCATCCTCCGCTGACACGGGCTCGTCTCCCGCTAATCCTCTCGTTACTGAAAAGAGATGGGGGGGGGGGGGGGGAGAGAGGGGGGGGTAAAGAGGCCGGGACTAAATTAAAGACCCGAGGAGCGTGGTTCTCTGTTTTAAAGGTGCCTCTGGGACGACGGTGGGGAGAAACAACTGTGTGTATTCTGAGCTCTGTATCGGCACATATACACCGGGGGCCCCTGATATGGATCTCACCACCTGTCCTTTGCTGCAAGTCTCTCTCTCTTTCTCCGTCTCTCTGCCTCACAGCATTGAATGCAATTGAAGCGTGTTGAGATGGAGCTGGCCTACATGGCTGCCAGCTGTGTGTGTGTGTGTGTGTGTTTGGTAAATCGATGCATGCACGGTGCAGGCTGCATGCAAACACCGCGTGGATCCACATCCGTTGCGCGGGTCAGGGTGGGAAGGATTCTCCTGCAGGACGGGAGGAGGAGGAGGAGGAAGACCAGCCCGCCGTGTTCGAGCCGCAGCCGAAAGATGCCGCAACAGCAGAGCGGCGTCGACGGTGATCTTAACTGACACCGGCTCGGCCCCGCCCCCCTCGGTTACAGTTGCCATGGCTACCGTGTGCGATGAGGCTGATTCACCAGTCAAATGTTTTACTCATTTTCGTTGCCTTTCCATTCATGTGTTTTTTTTTTTTTGTTTAACCTTATTTATTAGACGTCGTGTTTAGAAAAGCTGCACGTTGCATAAATTCAATAAAACGTAGTTGAGCGTGAACGCTTTCACCCGCTCGAGGTGGTTTTAGTCTTTGTTGTAAATTCTGACTTGGGGGACATTTACCTCACATGTTTCTGCTGTTGTAAAGTAACATGCAGTTGCTTGTTTTTCCTCGTCATGCAACCTAAAGCCCGACCAATAAAACCAGCTGCATGACAATTCTAATGCGCCCATTTCGCACTAATTCCTAACCGTTCTGGCGGTTAGAATGGCGATCTTCCACCGGCCTGCTTCTTCCGCCTTGATGGGTGGCAGCCACGTGCAGCCTTTAGCACCAACTTCTCCTTCCCAAACCTGCATGTTCACTCCGACCAGAGTGTTATTCAACCGTTCCTCACCTCCAGCGTAGCTCCCATGGTTTGGAAGAGATGACACCAGGCCTCTCTTAAGACGAGGGCGCTTTTGGGGGGGGTTGGATCTGTGGCCGTCTGAGGAGCTGTGTCCCTGTGGTCGGGTGGGCCTCCTCCCGAGAAGAAACGATGGGTTTGTGGTCCCTACGTTCTCCGCGGCCCTCCTGTCCCTCTCCAAAAGGCAGGAAGCCCTGTAGAGAAGCTGGATTCTCCTCTTCTTCGTCGTCTTTGTCTCCCGTCCTCGCCCTCGTGCTGCGAGTTGTCGGACTGTGGCTTCAGCTGTTTGTGTTTGTCAAACGTCCATGCGGTTAGAGGCTCAGTCTCTTGACTCTGTGTATTTATGCTCATGGATTTTCTGCGACGGCCCCTCGTGTGCACGGTTTTCTCTGTGACCGCTGTACTTGCTCAGTGATGTGAATGTTTATGTGCCGAGCTTTTATTTCCGTTGCTCTCTCTCTCTGCTGCTTTATCCTACTTTAACCCATCAATCTCTCTGTGGTTATATATTATTTATAATTGAAAATGTACTGCTTTCATTTAATGGCTTTAAGCATTTGTCCCACATTTCAGGATGAGTTTTTTCCCTAATCTGCGTTTTTCTTTCATGTAATTCACGTTTGGCGTTGCCTGTTTGATTGTTTCACTCAGCTCTCCTCTTGTCTCAGATCACTCCTCCTTACCGCCCCGTTTAGTCTCACCTGTCCATCGCCAGCCGTGCATTCGCCACACCCGCTGCTCACCTGTTCCCCATTAGCCGTCCCTATTCATACCCACCCGGTCGCATGCTTTGGACATGAAGAATCTGGATACTCCCAGAGTAACATGGCCGTGTGTGTGAATACCATCTTTGCTTTGGTGTTTGCTCTCGTGCACGGAGCCCGGAAGCACAGTGACGACGCCGGCTGCCATCTAACCCCCCCCCACCCCTCCATGTTTAACACCCAGCTCGCTTTCTTTCCTCCTCTGTCCATCCTCCAACTGAGCATTAACGATGCCTCTGCCCCGGAGAAACCCTCCACATACACACACACACACACACACACACACTCACACACACACTCACACACACACACACACACACATTTGCCTCACCTCCTACACAAAGTCACATCTGCTGTTGCCTCTGCACCGTCTTTGACTCTCCCTCCCAGTTTCCCCTTGAATCCATTCAACGTGTTTTTGTTTTAGCTCTGTGATATTACGTGTGCGCACTTTGCTTCGTAGTTCCTTCCAGCGGAGGCATTCACACCGAAGTTATTTAAAGAAGTCCTTAAAATGGCATTTCAGTCTATTTGATGCGGTTCTTTAAAACCATCCGATCGGCGCAGTGAGGCCGCCGGATGTTCCTGGATAACAACGTACAACGCTACTGATGCTGGATGGGAAGAAAGAGTACAAACGGATCCGCAGGTGAACAATTAGAAGAGCGGTCACGAGGGCGAACGCTGTATTCCTGCCGGTTTCACAACCATCTATTTTCCGTCTCGCTTTCATTCGTCATCGTTCGCACGCGTTGCACGTGTAGCATGTCATCACCAGCGAGCCGCCATCACAGACCAGACAGGAATGCTGTGTTTTGCTGCTGTACTTATTTTCTGTGCAGACCACATGCCAGCAGCAGCTGAACGGCCGGACACAAATCACCGCCGTCCTATTTTTCCTGCATTGAAACCGCAGAAAAGTCCCATTTCTGCGTGGATTCCCTCCGCTGCTGAGCTCCTCCGGGCGGCGGCGCCTACATCTTGTTCTTGTCGGGTGTGGCGTGTCTCCCGTAGTCTTGTACCTGTCACAGTGGACAAGGGGAGGCTCATTCTTGAGCTGTAGAAATATCCTGGCATTGTAGAGATAATGTTCAACCAAAAAAAAAAAAGCCTTTGTGGTGAGACAGAGCTGGAGAGTTTAGGTGATCAGGGCAGAAGCAAAGGGAAGCAGCATAACACTCCATGTGCTACTTATTAGTATTCATTTTGAGCAAAGATTGGATCGACAACAACAGTTTTGTGTGACAGAACCAATTAAATTAACTTCTGTTGAAATAATGACTCTGATTACTTGTTTGCTGATGATTTCTGACGGGCAACATATGGACATTGGCGTTTTTTTAAATACTTGCAAAAGAAAATCTTAGTTAGGTTACAGCTCAAGCAGGTTAGCTTAGCTTAGCTTAGCAAAGAGGAGGTAATGGACTGTAAATAGCCACCGACCAGCACTTTTAGGAAGATCGCTGGAGATCTCTCGCGCTTTCATCCGGGTGATGTTCACTCTGTGTCTAACCGCGCTACTTTTTCTTCCTCTCCTTTTCCAATCCATCCCATTTGTCCTCCTCGCCAATTCTTCCTCGCGTCACACCTTTCTCTCCTCCATAATCTCATGACCCCCCCCACCCCCCCGCCCACACCTGCAGAAGAACCGCCGGGACACCTGTAACTTTGACAAGGAGTTCACCAAGATGCCGGTGGACTTGACGCCGACTGACAAGCTGGTCATTATGAACATGGACGAGGACGACTTCCTCGGCTTCACCTACACCAACCCCGAATACGTGGCTCCTGGGAATTAACCCGGCCGATGGACTGTTGGACCATTAGTCTTTAAGAGCAGATAAGAAGGCAAACTAGCGCTAAAAGTCCACTTGTTGTGTCTCACGTCGAGCGGGTGTCTGCAGTCCTTGTGGAGCGATACCTCAGCACAAGAAAGCTATCACAACACACAGCGAGCAAAGTAGAGCAAAGCCCACCGGGCACCAGAGGTCTGCAGGTATCGTATCAATCGTGGCAAAGATGACCAAATGGGCTTTTTGTACAGGACCAAATATAATCTAGATTTGTGGGAAATTCTCAATTCTGAATGACTATAATTGACCATCTCAATACGCAATGATTTGAAACCGCGGAGGCAGCTTGTGCTCACGCACGCTCCCTTATCTTCATCTTACGCCACAGTTTTATTAATTATACAATTTGGCGTGCCGCTGTGTTTATGCAGTGAGCTCAAATCCCACAGCCGACCTCACCTCGCTTGTTCAAAGTGTTGTGATGTGTTCTCTTGTGTCCCGCGGGTTTTAACTCCGTCCGCGCGGCATCTCAACATCTCAAACCCCGCCATGTAATGAGAGTAATTAATCACCCAATGTGACGTGACATGTTGAACAAATCCGAGCGGATGGCAGCGGCGGCGTCAGTGTGTCATTTGTCTGGTGCAGTTAAAACGGCTGCCGTTCACCAGGAGGAGCGTGTGGAACAGACACGTTCTATTCCTACTGTTCAGTCATAACTCTACGTTCCTTTTTTGTCTTAGCGTGTACATTCTAGTTGCTCCCCTCATAGAACTGTGCAGGAGATAGACTTCCTGCAGCAGACAGATGCCCCCCCCTCCCCCCCCCGTGTTTAACTGGAGGCCCTTTAACGTGCACCACGAGCAGCGCCGCGAACCCTCCTGTGCATTGACCTTTGCCCGCCCGTCCCGAGCGGCCCGTGAGTTGCGCTGCGACGACGCGCACTCCGGCTGTCTCGCCCCAACGAGCAAACTTCACCGCCCCGTCGACTCTTTTCGTCTTTTTCCTCCCGTTCCCCCCCCCCCCCCGCGCGCGTCCGTGCCTCTCCTCCTCCTCGTGACGGGGCCTCGCTGGGAGCCCGGTGTGACGTGGGGGTCACGGGGGTCAGCGTTGCGGCAGACGTCCGGTCCGGCGAATGAGAAGCGGCTCCGACGGCCCCCGAGAGGGCGATTTCACACACAGCAATAATGACTGCTTTTCTCAATTATTTATGTTGCACTCACTTCTCCTCAACCATCCGGGTGCGTTTGTGCGTTTGTGCGGTTTTTGTGTGCATGTTCTGACAAATGTCCAATGCTGGAAGATGTGTGTGTGTGTGTGTGTGTGTTTATGTGGTTAATAAGGCTTCATTGGATAATGCCAATTATTTCAAATTCAGCTCAAATTCAACAAATCTGCCTTCCAGCTTCAAACCGCATTACATTGGCTGTAATGCCATCGAGCTCTGTGCACTGACCACACACACACGCACGCACGCACACATGCACACACACACGTCTACACAGTCCGATCCGTGACTGAGGGTTGGAATTATTAGGTGAAGCGTAACAAGGCGGACAATGACTGTGAAATGTTCGCTCCTGGAGGCACACGAGACACATACTGTAGGTCCATTACACAGGCCTGGAACCCCCCCCCCTCCCTTTAATTAGCAGTATCCTTGTGTGTATTATATACAGTATTATATATACATGTGTTGTACATATAAACATGCAGGATCCTCCATGACACGCCGGAGCAGTCTAGATCTTTGTTCTTTGGTTTGGATGTTGCGTAACGTTGAATTTGTGTTGCCGTCATTTCTCAAGCGTAGAGCTGCGTGTCGCTCAGGTCAGTGGTGTAAATATCTCTTAACGTTAATCACGCCTACTCTTAACATCTGCTGTAGGAGTCGTAGACCCTGAAGCATTCAATAGCACTAGACCGCTTTGTCACCTGTGAGTGTGTGTGTGTGTGTGTGTGTGTGAGGGAATAAAGGAACGTGTAACTTTGCATGCATGTTATTCAGACGTTTTAAGCACAGTGCAGTTTAATATAAGTCTTTAAGTCATGTAATATATCTGCCTTTGCTCTGGTAAAGACGGGCGCTGTGAGAGCTCACAGGAAATGAGTCTCTGCTGCATCAAACCTTTTCCCCAAATATCCCACACAAGAACTATTAGAAAATATACTATGCATGCATGTGATGATCACCCCCTTTCTCTTTCATTTCTTGCTCTATATGATGTGGATCTATCTTATATTAAGTGTTGATTGATGGACCGGTGTGTGATTATTACTTTATTAGGCATTAATAGGTATATGTTTACTTAATTTATGATAAAATGTCACGACATTGTAACCTGTTTATGTAATATGATACAAGAGCCGTGTCCTGCTTCATTTGTACATATATAAATATTTTTCAGATGTTTAGGGGTAATTCCATAATAACATCTTCACACAGAGCGGTTTGTGTGCCCCATGATCTCTATATCTATCCAATCAACCTGTGTATCTCTGTATCTCTGATATAGATAGATATACCTGTTCCTGCAATGGAACACAGACAAACATTACAGCATTTAACATAAAACCAGCCGCTCCTTATCGAGATTCTGCAGGGTGGATCGGTAACGGCCTGAATGTTTCCAACTTGTCTTCCTTCCTTCACTCCTTTCTTTCTTCCCGACCTTTTCTGTGATCGCGCTTCCCCCCCCCCTCCTCCTCCATCCCTCCCACTCAGCTTCCTCATTGTCTTTCCCTTGCCTCATTTTCTTTCTCTTGACCTTTCCCCCTCTCCAGCGTCTCCGCCGCTCTCTTCTCTCTCCTCTTGCAGACGCATTTCCCACTTGTTTTTATTCTTCCTCTTCCACTCGTCTCTAATACGTTCTTTGTCGTTCACCTCTCATTACCGCAGACTTGTCCTTTATATTTCTCCTCTTTTCTCTTGACATTGATACTATTTAAATCTCCTCTTAAAATCATTTCTGCTTTGATTTCAGCCGGACTTACGAACTAAGGAACAAATAGTTAAACAATGACCTGAATATAATTCATACGTTCTGCGAACAGCAAAGATTGTGCAAAAGAAGAGTAAGAATGTGTTTTTGTCAGACGGTTTACTAATAAGAAAATTTGTATTGTGATGTGTTCAATTGTAGACTAATAAATCACGTTGAAAGATCGTCTATTTGTCTTGTTCCAAGTCAAACATTCATCTTATAGCGAGTTGCCTACAGAACAGTAACGCGTGTGAGTGCGCAGGTTTATTTAGTTACAACTAATCTGTAAGGAAGAACTACTCTGTGTACACCCTCTCAATGTAGTGCATTTGCACACATTAAATGAATTAAAAACAGGAAACAGCTGGTGCGAACTGACTCCTTTATTCGGGAATTTTCAGGACAAATTTATTTAACACCAAACCGGAAATAAAAAGTACTGAGCTTTTCCTACGTGCCTTCAATGGGTAACCTACTGATTAAACACAGTACGTGTGTATGTGTGGTGCTAGAGGCACAGAGGTTAACGGGGTACCTGTTGATGATGTGCTGTACGGACAGCAAAGGGAGAATTAATCTTTATTCCCTATTTATTACGCATCCTGTCACTTGGCTGCCGTCGCACAAACACGCATCCCATAAGGCTGCATCTGCGTATGCAATTATGATAATGGTGATAATGAGCAGACGTCTTGTAATGACGGCATCAGTGTGATCCTGTGCCACAGAGTACAAGGGATGGAATTTACAAGAAATAATAGAACTAATTGACGGCTCCTCAGATCTGCTTGATGACGACGATCAATGTTTCCATCTGTATTGACAGCTGTCACTGACAGATGTGATCAGCTGTCGCTCGCTAATTAAGCTAACGTTAACTTAATGGGTCATTTGCCTCTGGATGACATTTTTATGTTTCCAGCTGACTTGTTTTAAAAACGGATTGATTGGAGGTGATTTTCCCATCGTGTTTTGGACGATAAGTTCTGTTGCAGACAAACGTTCGTGAGTCTTTTCTCAGCAACATAATCTCAACAAATGAAAAACGAACCTTCATGATTTCTTAAAGCGTGAATGCAATTAGCAGAAGTAAAACAGTTAAGGCTTTAAATGCTCTCGTGGTCTCATTTAGCCACTTGTTAGCGACTTGTGAGCTTGTGTTAATCACAGACCTTATTTTTTTTTATTTAACCTTTATTTAACCAGGTAAAAGTCCCATTGAGATCGAGATCTCATTTTCAAGGGCGACCTGGCCAAGAAGGCAGCAGCACACATCATTAAAAAACAGCCATAAAATACCTATACATGACACGAGTATAAACCACAATACAAATTAAGTTAAAAACAAAATACAAAGAAAAAATGGTCAAAAGCAGAGGCACCGTTCAATAGATTATTGTTGTCTGTCCATTTTGAGACGTCGGAAAACATTAAAAGATAAAAGTTCAGACAATTTCAGTTGAGACAGATTGTTCCATGTTGATGGGGCGGCAAAACTGAATGCTTTTTTCCCCAGTTCAGTCCGCACTCGTGGAATGTACAAGCAGTAAATATCGCTGGACCTTTAAGCATTTTAGTGATCTGACCAAGAAGAGCCTGAACACCATTGATCTCATCCGGCGCTGGACTGGACCCAAAGCTTTATGTCATCTGTTGGGGAAAGCCGGCGGGGGGCCGGAGTGCAAATTTCCCCAAAACAACGAAGAGCGGAGCAATCGACATCAGCTTAGCCTGAACCACTGAATGTAAATTCAGCCGAGTGTGGTGCGATGGTTACGGTTTCCGAGCTATGATTGGACAGCCGCGATAAACGTAGATAGACGCTTGTGGGTCTCTCCACCAGCGAGCCTGCTAGCAAAGAAGCTAGCCGCTGTGGAAGACAGCAGGCCGCTGCAGCACACTGGAGAGAGAGAAACCGACAAAAGCAAAAGAATCTCTTATTTATTTCCGTTCAGTGGATCTTAAAAACGCTCAAGAGGGGAGCATGACGGAAGAGCTTATTGGATTTATTCCACACTATCTTTCTTTCTCGTGCAGTTCCTCTCTCTCTCTCTCTCTCTCTCTCTCTTGCAGCGCTACACACATTTTCATTAAGTAAACATATTAGACACACTTTCACACCATAAGACATGCGCCTTCACAATTAAGACACATCTCTTTCACCGTGTCGCCCCTTCATTCGCTCGCCACTTCCTCCCTCCCCGAATTGATCAATCGCTCAATCAGTGTCCAACACACACACACACACACCCTGTCACACATTTTCATTAGAAACGCTTCCACATGATCACTGACCTTGTGTCTTCCTCATAGTGTCCGACTCAGACATGCATCATTATGTGCTACACACACTTTAACTTCAACAAAGTTTCTTTTCTCAAAATGGAGATACAATTATATTCTTTGGAATTCAAATTCGGCCAGTCATTTTTTTTTAATCATTTTTGCTTTGAATACACACAAGACGTATTCTGTGGAGAGTTTCTTGTGAGTGTGTCTGTGGACGTCTCGGTAATAAATCAGAGTTTTGTCGTATTAGAATCACGCCAGAGTCGTGCCACATCCCCATATGTCGGCTCTCTGCCCTGAAGTCTTCCCCATCTGCTAAAAACCACCCAGAGAAACAGAAGCACAAATACAAACACAGTCACACACACACACACACTGAAAATGTATATAGTCAGTCAGAGCAAAAGAAGACTACACAATATTTGATTGACAGTCAGTCTTTGATGCTGTTTCTGTCCTGATTGGGTCTCATGTTCCCGCTCTGAATGTTTGAGGTGCATTTGTGTCGTCAGTCATCTTGCACTTCCTCCTCCTCCTCCTCTCTCTCCCTCCAAACAGTTTATCTTTCACACTCTAATTTCTCTGTGGTTTTCCGTTTCCTTTGATTTCTTCCTCTTGTCTTGCCTTCCCTCCTCCTCCTCCTCCTCCTCCTCCTCCACCTCCTCCTCTTCCTCACAGTCTCTGAGCATCGGCCAGAGGCGTGAGAAGGTTCCAGCTCACTGAGCAGAAACCCTGCAGTCCTCCTCCTCTTCCTCTCCTCTTTGAGAACAACCCCAGTCTTCCTCTCCTCTCCCTCCTGTTGTATACAGCCAATAACCGAGAGAAGACGAAAGTGAGACGTGCAACACGAGAGAGACAAAGGACGAGAGACAAAGGACGGGACACGTCGGTGATTTTGAAGCCATAAATTAATGCCGGATCTTTTCAGAAAGTCAGCAGTCTACTTCTGTTCAAACAGACTTCGCACACACAGAAAAAGGGAAAAATTTGTGTTTTTTAATGTTAAAATATTGTTCCATGAGGATGGATCTCATTTAACGCTCACCGTGGGGACAGACGCCACTGATGACGTGAAGTAGCAGCAGGAAATGTGCATTGAGCAGTAACCAAGGCCTACGCCAATGGGAGTTCTGATGGATCAACGGTGCCATACCTGCAGAATGCAACAGTAAAAACTGCTTTATACAAATGATACTATCAGATGTAGTTACACTGAGTGACAAACTAAAAGGCATCAATCAAAAACAGGGTTTTTGTTTGATTTTGTATTTCTTCATTATTATCATTATAGTTGTTTTATGAATATGATTGTTATAACTATTACTTTAATCAGGGAGAGACGGTGCATTCACACAATACACACGAGACACAATGTTTTTACCCGGAAACCAGCATCTTTCCCAAACCTTAACAAAACTTTCACCCCAAACGCCTTCAATTCTTCCTCCAGCAGACTCTCTCACCCCTCCCATCCTCTCCACTTCCTCCCTCCTTCCTGGAGCCGCCCTCCCTCCCTCCCTTCCTCCCTCCCATCTCTCACCAGAGGTGAAACGCTGTACTTCTCTTCCTGAAGTCATTTCTATGTTAATGAGTCTCCTCGTGAGATAACGGAGGCAACAAGGGCCTCGGACACACTCACAACACACGCACACGCACACACACACACACACACACACACACACACACACACTGGCAAAGCAAGTGAGAAGGATGATAGGACCTGTCACTGCTCTCTCGGTTGATCTGTTCATGCAATTATTCAATTATATATACCGTAATCCTTTTTCTCCCCTCTCGCTCCTCGCTCTCTCTCGCTCTGTTTGTTTTCGGATGCTTAAATTCTTCTGTGTCCTCCTCTGTTTGTTTTGTAGTCTGTCCGACGACCCCTAATCCCATCAGCTAAACAGCCAGCCGGCCTGTCAGTCCGCTTGTCCCTCACTCCGTCTTTAAGTCACTTACAGCCTGATAGTCGGTCGGTAAATCAGTCAGTTATGGCACTTAAACTCTGAAGCCGATTAACACCAACGTACAGTTCAGACAGTCACCTAAAAAAAACAAAGACGTCTCGAGCATCGTTGTCCACTCGTCTGTCCTTTGACAACTTGACAAACACGCGCCAAAGGTCAGAAAGAAAGAAATAACTAAGGAATTTTTGTTTTTGCACACTATGTGTGTGTGTTCATGCAAATACCCGGACATTAACATGTAAAACTGAAAGGGCGTACATGGATTTGTTGATCCCTGCAGTTCTGTCATCATTTTATTTGAATTTGTCAACAGGAAATACAATGAGCTTTTAAACAGTCAGATATGTTCATCCGCCTGAGGCGCGCGCACACACGTGCACACATTCTCTCTCTCTCAAAACGCCTCATGACACTTACACATGTCCATACGTGCGCACATTTGCACACAACCGAGTCACGTGAACAGAGACGCGAACAGGCAAAGTGTATGCGCGCACACTTGCGCATTCCATGCGCACGCACTCGCGTGTGTTAAGTGAACTGTGAAGAGGATCAAGACCGCCTTGTGTGGAAGCCTCGCTGGAGTGGAATCATTAAAAACGGTCCGTGGCTCTTTAAGTGGCATCTCTGCTCCTCTCCCGGGCGCGATTCTTCATGCATCGCTTGCCAATCTCTCGACCCCCCCCCCCTCCCTCTCTAACTCTCTCTCTCTCTCTCTAACTAATCAGTGCGGTGCAGGGGCTGCTGGGTGCAGGCGGTGGACGGAGGGAAACGGAAGGGGACGCCGCGCTCGGACCAAGGACAGCGCCGCGGCGCGCGTTCAGCACCGCGGACAGCTCCGCTGACGCGGCAGAAGCGGCGCGCTGCTGCGCTGCTTATAAACCCCACTGAGATCTGCATTTAAAACCCTTTAGAGGCAGGTGGTTTGTGAACAGAGCTGATCAACATTACTGTTTTTATAAGAGCTATGCCCAGATGAATAAGACCTATGCCCAGATGTATAAGAGCTGTGTAATTACAGAGAGTTTGAACAGTGTGGTATCCTGACAAGAAGTACCTCCTTTTACTAAAGCAATATATTCTCCCCTCTCAACTGGAGACGAGAGGAGACTGAAGCCCCCCCCCCCCTCATGCTTTATACTGACGGCGTTGCGGTGGTGGGTGGGACCCGCAGCAGTGACGGATACGTGATTAGCTCCTGAAGGGCGCTGTCAGCCACCAGCCCAATCCGAGCCGAGCGGTGCGTCCTCAGGCGGAGTTTGAGGAGACGCGCGGTTAGTTTTAGTTTGTGTTGGTTGGACCGAGAGGAGGAGGAGGAGGAGGAAGACGAAGAGGAGGAGGGCGACGAGGAGGAGGAGGCGGCGACGGCTGTCATTTTTTTTCATGTGTACCAACAGGGCACGTTTCTCGGGAGCGAGACCCAGGCGGGTGTAAACTGTCCGCACGGGCTCCATCAGCAGGCGTCTGACCGGACCGGTCCGTCCCGGTCTGTGGTTGGTCTTCGGCGGTCAAGACAGAGAGCGAAGACGGCGGTTTTTCTAGAAGACATTACATGAATTCTGTCGAGGTCGATTTTTTTTTTTTTTTGGTTGCCTATTTCATCCCCACCAATTAAACAAGAAATAGCCGCGCTGTCGTGTCTCTCTGCAGCAGATGATGTGCGAGGGGGGGAGAAAAAGCTGCATTTATTGGCCTATTGGTGGCTGATCTGGACATCGAGGAGGAGGAGGAGGAGGAAGAAAAAACATGCCAGTGAGTCAACAGCTGGAGTGGAAAACACACGACGGATCTCGGTCAACGCGTTCCTCATAGCTGACGCATGGGCTTTGTTCAACCGTCCGTGCATTCGGTAATTCAGCGGGACGCCGAGCCAGGAGAAACCCGACTGCACCGCCTCACGCCAGCGGAGGAAGAGGACATCCTCCCCCAGCGGAACCCAGCGGAACCCGGCGGTGAGTGAGGGGCGAGCCGCCCCAAGGAGCTTTAGCTGGAACGCGTTAGAAACCCGCCTCTCTTTACTTGTGCTGTGCGGTTACACCGGTCGGGATAAACAAACTAACCCCCCCCCTTTTTTGTTGTTGTTTTTTTTTTTTTTTAAAAGATGGACTCCCCCGGCGCAGACCTCGGCTGTTAACTGTTGACAGATTTATTAGGGGGCTGTGTTGGAAAAGCAGAAGTTGAGAAGGGCGCAAGGGAGCCAGGCAGGAAGGGAAGGCGAAGGAGAGAAGCTCTCCGGTTACCGCCGGGTAACGCAGCGCGTCTCACCCCCCGCGGGGCCGACGCGCGGGAGGAGGGAAGGGGAGGCGGAATGTGGCATCGCCGTCAGCCTCCGCTTTGACTGAGCGAGGGCCGCGTCGGGCAGTCGGGGGGGACAACCGGTGGTCGTTAACTCTCCAGTGTGTGTGTGTGTGTGCGCGCGCGCGCGTGTGTGCGGGTGGTGGTAAAAACCGGTTTTTGATGCGCGAGAAAGCGACGTGCCGCCCCCCCCCTCCACCTTCCCGCCCTTCGCCGGGAGCCTCTTGTCAACCCAACGGACACTAATAAAAGCATCTATATCGTTATTATTATTATTATTATATCTCACCACACTCCCCACCCTATTTCATTTTTTTTTGGAGTGCCCGTCTGTTGAAACCTTCCACTCTCCAAAATCTCGCGGGATATAAAAAAAAATAAAATAAAAAAAAAGGGTGTGAATCAAAAAGACAGACGGACAAGAGCTTACGACAACAACGAAAAACACCCCGGGAGAGCCGCCTTTATGAAGATGCTGATGTGTGACCGCGGCGTCCAGATGCTCGTGACGACGGTGGGCGCGTTCGCCGCCTTCAGCCTCATGACCATCGCCGTCGGCACCGACTACTGGCTGTACTCGCGCGGGGTCTGCCGCACGAAGAACAGCGGCGACAACGACACGAGCCGCAAGAACGAGGAGGTGATGACGCACTCCGGCCTCTGGCGAACCTGCTGTCTGGAAGGTACGTGATCAGTCTGACGGACGGGCTGTCTCCCCCTCTCTCACTCCCCCCTCTGTCTCTCTCTCTCTCTCTCTGCCCTCTCCTAGTGGGCACCCATGTGTGTGATGGTACTTATCTTTCACTGCCTCTCCACACACATGACACAAACATCCTGTCCCTCTTAACACAAGAGGAGCTTGTTGTACCCAGTGTGTGTGTGTGTGTGTGTGTGTGTGTGTGTGTGTGTGTGTGTGTGTGTGTGTGTGTGTGTGTGTGTGTGTGTGTGTGTGCATTTACCCATGTGAGTGTGACAGCATCCCATAATCCCTTGAGACTCACTTCTTGAGAATCCCTCCAATCCCGAGCACACCCGTCCTTTCCCCTGCATCATAAAATACAACGACAGAAGATTTATTGATCTGCTCCTGATGTCGTCACGCTGCATATGGCTGGAGGCTAACAAGTAACATGGATCTGCACACATCTACACACACACACATACACACACACAGAGTGTCATTAGGAGTTTGCTCTTTTGAAGCCATCTTGTTTGTCATGTCGTTCGGAGGGCCAGTAAACACAGATGCGGGCAGCGTGGCTGGTGGCCCGTATAGGCCGGTTCTGGTGTGCATTTGGCGACCACCGGACCTGTTGATCCGGGCAAACGCTCCCAAATGACTTCCTGATTCCCGAAGTCCTAATTCTCACCCTAAGAAATCTATGGCCTGCAGACGGACGTGCACAGTGACCGGTGAGAATAACAGTGGTCACTTCAGAAGTTGGGACACTTCCACATTCGTCACACAGGGAGAAAGTAACCCAGCTTCCGCCTCACCTGTAATTACGTTAGCGACAACTGTAGCTATTGCTGCCATTCATAAGAATATTACTGAAATGTGATATATTGTTTTTCCAAATCGCCTCTGGCACTCCTTGTCTTGTGTTTCAATCCCCCAAAACCGCTCTGTGGAATTAAGCCCTTGTGAGACGTTAGAGCCTCGTCTGGTGGACGTGTCTGTGGGAGTCTCTGTGGTGATTTACTATAGCAAGAACCTTTGAGGTTCCAACATTGGTGTGCCTGCGTTTTTGTGTCAGTGTGTGTGTTTGTGTGCGTGTGTTGTAGATTGGGGCTTGGGCTTTGACCTTGGAACCCTCTCCGTGGCCTTCCCTGAGAAATCTCAAACAGAGTGCAGAGATGCAACAATATTAAAATGTGTTTGTAGAAGATATACTGTATCTCTGCCTCTGCCAGTGTTGCCTAATAGGGATGAAAGAGCTGGTCTCCGCTTGATAGGGCTGGTCTCCGCTTGATAGGGCTGGTCTCCGCTTGATAGGGCTGGTCTCCGCTTGATAGGGCTGGTCTGTGTACTGTAATAGTTGTAGATTTCTTAAGAGCAGTATCATTATCATCATTAAATTTGGATGTGTCTCTTACTTTAGAGTTCTTTAAGGTTTTTCCCTTCTTGGTAAGCTTTTTTCTCCTGCTTTCACTCTTTGTGCCAAGCTCGGTTTAACATGTCTTGGACCAATCTTGCTACCAGGGCTGCCCCTTCTTTCTCAATTACTCAACTATTTCCTTTTGGTTTTAGTTGACCAGGCCTTAGTTGGTTTTAGTTGCCTTTTTCTACGCTTTTTTTTTTAATTTCCGAACACATCTCAGTTACACACAAGATCCTACGTGGTGCTTTTGTGTGATTCCTTAAAGGGAAACTCCTGGTAGAGCGATTGCTTCATGTACCAAGGCTGAGTCTTTACTGCAGTGCCCCAAGTCATGGCCCTTTGCTGCAAGTTGTCCTTCCCCCCATCCCCCCCCTTTCGCTGTCTCCCTTCAGCTGCATTTTTCAATAACGGCAAGAAGATCTCGGCTGGTCGAGGACAGCTTTACTTGCTGCTGACATGAGAGGAATATTAATTCTCACATCAAGCGTTTTTTAAGACAATAAACAAATATGTGATTATCATGCACAGGGTGTGTTGCCTATAAACTGAATGGGGTTAAAGGTCACTCTAAATGTAGATTTTTCATATCTGATACCTCATTTTGTCTTGACACATAATACACCGCAAAACGATTTGACTTTGAACGTCAGGAAATTGCCTGCATAGGGGCTTGAAAAGTTCTTTTTAGATTACCATTAAAAAGATGCATTGCCTCTGGTGGGAGCATGTGTGTGTGTGTGCGTGTGTGTGTGTGTGTGTGTGTGTGTGTATGAGATGCAGCCAGACATAACCATCACATTCTGGGGGGCAGAGAAGGCTATTACAGGGCCAGATGGTGCAGGTATAAGGCTGTATTGAACACAGTCTCATTTACACACACACATGCTTGTAATTGAAAGAATAAATAGACAAATTCTAGGATATTCCCAAGCCACCAAATAAGCACAGCTGTGGGAGCAGCACGCCAAGTTAACACACAATGTCAGCACAATGTCACCGCGTGCACACGCTCCCATGCAGCAGGCGCTAATGCGCACGCGCTCACACTTATGCTCGCACACACAACTTAAATGAACGAGTCCTCTCGTCTCCTTCTGCCCATCTAATACTTACGCTCACTCCGGGTCCCCGGTTCTGACGGTTTCATAATTCATAAACACTTCGTGAAGTGACAGGAAATGGATGCTCGGGCTCGTCGGGCGGAGCCACTGAGAAAAGGCTGGAAGAACACCGTGCATGCAGTGTTCTCACAGTAAATGTATAGAGCGGCCATGCATGTCAACTGTGAGGCACAAAGCGCGTTCTTTTGCTGACAATATGGAACAGGAAGAAAGCTGAGTCTGGTTTTGGACTCAAGTCCTGTGGACCAAACCGTGTTGTCTGGTAAAGACGTTTTATTCCATCTGCCCTGTGAGTTTTCTTGCCCAAACTGCGCAATGTGCTTCAATAAGACCTTTACTCCTGATTGTATCTCTACCCACCAACAGCTTCATGTGTGGTCTGGCTGGCACGTGTTGCATGAAAGTGTTAGTTTTTGTCTGTGCAGGTGTACTGAGGTGTTAATCTTCCCACTGTGATAAACGAGAATTTAGAAAGCCAGGAAATGAAGAGCGGAGAGAAAGCAGGAGGTGGTGGAGCTTGGGTGGAGAGAGACCAGAATGTGCCTGAATGAAGCTGGAGGGGGTGATGGATGAGCTGCGCGTGCCCTCCGTTTCAGGTGAATCTCCGGGGAGCGCGTGACCTCGCCGGGGATCTAAATGATCACCAGGTAATAGAGAGAAGGAAGCGGCTTTTAAACAGAGGTGGGGGACAGAAAATGATCCCCGCAGGGGGCTGCTGGAGGCCGTAAGAAGAGGAAGGAGTGATGGACTGATGGAGAGCAGGAGGAGGAGGAGGAGGAAAGGGCTGTTTGTAAGCGTTAGGAGAGAAGATAAAGATATGGCGAAAAAGTAACCACAACTTTTGTGGTAATACTGTTTCCACAGAATTCCAAGGAATAGTTTTCTGTGTTTGGCGAGTTAGAACTTTGGTCTTCGCAGACCTCTGATCTCAACCACATCACCGCATTAAAATCAGTGGCGGATTTTCTTCAACCCTTTAGTGGCTCATTGGGAGGCAAATTGGTTCAAAATCAAGCCGGTGGCTATGATAGCGGCTCGTTGATAATGTCCATCGTTTTGGAATGGGATGTGGGTGTGATGTTGGCAACGCGGTGTGGCCGCACGCTACAAACAATCACGATAGTGAATGAGATGAGATGAAGGGAGGATGAAAGAGGGATTGGAACGGAGTGATCGGGAGAGGATGTTCTGAACACGAGGAGGAGCGCGGGAGGGATGATGAGACCATTTGAAACGTTGTGGAGACGCAGAGAGCAGAATCGAACACGGGGCGCTTGAGGAAGGACAGAGTGAGAAAAGGAGGGAGGAGGAGAGAGAAAGAGGAGAGGTGTGCAACCAAGCAGAACCTGTCCCGTTCTCTTTCATCAGCCGTCACCGTGGAAACTAGCCTCTTCCCCTCTCGCTCTCTCTCTCTCTCTCTCTCTCCCCCCCCCTCCCTTTTTCCTTCTCTCGTTCTGCCTAGAAAGAGGTAATCAGAAAGAGTGAGAGAGGTAGAGACAGAGAGAGAGATGGGGGGAGAGGGGGGGGGGGGGGCACAGTCACCCACACTGAGCTGTCAGAGACGCTCTGAGAAAACAAGCAGTCCAATTTGCTCTCTTTTCCTCTCCCCTTGCTCCCTCCCTCCTTTTTTTCTTAGCGGTTTTCTAGTTGACAAAATGCTTTATATCCTGCATGTGTTGGCGTGCCCCCTCCACCCCCCCCTCTCCCTCACCCCGGGGAATGAGGCTGCCCTCACCACAACAACAATGGAAATTAGTCCCATTGCCTGAAACCACCTTTTGTTTAAGCTTTAGTGACACCGACCAACTGTAACACCGGAAAACCTGAACAAGCTTCGCTGTTTTCGTCTGTCCCCCCCCCCCCCGACATTAAAGAGAGATTCATTCCTGACCTTGAATAGTTTTCAGCCACGCTGTCAACAAGGCTTCAGGCGGAAATATCTCTACGACTATTTGAGTTTGTAGAGACATCCGTTGGTCCCAGGTGATGTACTCTGAGGACTTTGGGGATCTCTGGAAATTGTCCCCGGGGCAACCATGACGTTTACTTTGGTGGGTTTGAGTTGAATGTCCCAACAACTATTGCATGAACGACCCGGTGCACAGGTTCATGTTGCCATCTGGATTTATTGTAACAGCTTTGATGGACCAGTTTCATCAAACTTTTTGATTTGTACAAAACGTTGGTTCACCATGGAAACAGTGCTGATTAGCGTATGTTGTTGTGCTAACACTCACACTAAATTGTTGATCATCGGTAAATACAAGCTGTACGTGAATAAGTGACCCGTTCTGTCTCTTGGTGCAGTGGTTTTCGTGTCACTGATAGATATGTTCCTGTAACACAACGTGGTAGCAACATTTGGAAAAGAGCTAACAGCATAAATAGCTAATTCTGTTATCTAGAATATATATTGCCATGGTGTACCAGATATAATACATTATATATATATAATGGTAT